CTCCGGCCCCCAGGGCGGTGCTGCCCCTCGAAGCCGTGCCCCGCTGTCCCGGCAACAAGTGGATGCGGGTGCTGCAGATCTGGAGGCAGCAGGGCTCTGAGAGCCTCCACCTGGAGATGCACCGCACCTTCCAGGAGCTGGGGCCCATTTTCAGGTAAAGCCTTCCTGCCCGCCTCGCTGGGAGCACCCTGCCTGGCTGTCCCTCCCGGCTCCTGAGTCCCGCGGGCAGGGCGCTGCGTGTCCCCAGCGGCCGCCTGGGGGCTGAGCAGTGGCTGCTCCGTGCCCTTGACCCCGGACACCCGCCGGGGCTCTTGTGAGGCTGCAGGGCTCCCCGGACGGTGACCCGAAGGCAGAGGGCAGACGGCCGAGGGCGGACGGCCAAGCGAGAGAGGCTTCCCCGGTTAGACGGCATAGGAGCCCGAGCTCGAGCCCCGTCCACGGCCCAGGAGGACGGAGAGGCCAACGGGAGCCAGGCCGGTGGCTCTGCAGGGGGAGCCCCAGGGAGGCCCCGGCCCCCCAGCAGGGCTCTGAGCTCTGTCCCTCAGGTATGACGTGGGAGGGACACACATGGTGCACGTGATGCTGCCCGAGGACGTGGAGAGGCTGCAGCGAGTGGAGAGCCCTCAGCCCTGGCGGCCGCCCCTGGACCCCTGGCTGGCCTACCGACAGCATCGTGGGCACAAATGCGGCGTGTTCCTGCTGTGAGCGCGAGTGGGGGGGCGGCGTGGGAGGGAGCCGGCAGCCTGCGAGCACCCGGCCCGAGGCCAGTGAGGGGTGGGGAGGCCCGCATGTCCCGGGGCTGGAGAGGGGCAGCAGGGCCACAGGTCAGCAGAGCAGGATGGCCGCTTCCACAAGGGAGCACCCACTCCACCCAGGCCTCTGTAGGTGGCCCGCCCGGGCAGGGTGGCCTTCTCCCTTCCTACAGGTCAGGAGGCCCAGGCCCGGGGGAGTGGAGTCACGGCCAGGTCCCCTTGGGAGTGTGTTCTGGGGCCTTGGGGCCCCCTGGGTCGGCAGCCCTTGGCCCCTGCCCCGTGGGCCCTGGGGTTAGCACAGGGAGCTCAGGAGGGCGAGGCCGGGGTGGGAGGAGGGCGGGCGGCAGAGGGAGGCGCCTTTGTTCAGAAGCTAAACTCTAGGTGGGAGGCCTGGGAGGCTATGAGCCCGCGTGTGCACCCTTGGGTGCGTGTGTGTGTGGTGGGTGTCTGCCCTGGTGTGTGAGTGGGCCCACAAGTATGCTCACTGGTTGGTGCTGTTTTAGGCGTGTGAATGCGTGTGTGTTTGCCCACGATGGCTGCCTTTGGCTTGTGCTCATGCCGCGGTGTGCGTGCTTGAGCGGTGTCTCCACGTGTTGGCATGTGTGCGCGCTTCTGCTCTTTGTGTGTGCACACGTGTGTGTGCGCTTTGGTACCGGCCTGCGTGCCCAAGAGTGTGTCATCTGCACATGTGTGCCCAGTTTTGAGCATCCAGGTGTGTCGTGGGCATGTGCAGGTGGGCATTGTGGGTGTGCTCACGCATGTCGTCTGTGTCAGCGTGCGAGTCTGCCCGGGGCCCGTGTGGCGTGTGCATCTCTCTGGGCGCCCGTGAGCGCGCGCGATCCTTGTCTCTATGTGCAGGCAGCCAGCCGTGGAAACGCTGCTTGTGCTCGCGTGTGCCTGAGAAGGCAGCTCCCTCCACCATCCACCGGACAGACGGACGGACTGACTGACGTACAGCGCCCTGGAGCCGGATGTGCTGACGTGCTCGGGGCCCTGGTTTCCCCGGAGACCATCTGCTCTAATTACTGCTCAGCACCCACTTGGCCAGAACGCTCTCCTCCTCCTCCTCCTCTGCCTCCTTTGCTTCCTCTTATCTCCTCCTCTCCCTCCCCGGCAGCGAGCACCCTCTGGGGGCTTTTGAGCCCCTGTTGCCCCGACACTAGCCCCTGAGGCTTCGGATGTGTGCACCCCACCCCCCGCCTCGCCTCGCTGTCCAATCTCTTAGCCCCTGTGTCCTCTGCCCCTGAGGAGCTGCCAACCTCGGGTCCCTGTCCTGCTCGGTGCCATTTCAAGGGCCATACCCTGTGCCTGCAGTGCTCTCGCCCAGCCTAGAGCTGCAAGTGGGGCCGGTAGTCGCCCCACCCCAGCCCCACCCCCACCCCCACCCCCACCCGTTGTGCTCAGTCCACTTGGGCTCCTCCTGGCCCTGCGGGGCTCTGGGCTTATGGCGGAAGCCCCCGCCGAGGGCCTGCATGAGCGGGTCAGGGTCGCGTTGACTAGAACAACAGCCACCCAGGAGCTCACGGGGCTGACGGGCCGTGGAGACGACTCACCAAGCAGGGAGGATGGTGAAGTCTCTGACTGGCTGTGGGGTGACCTCGGAGAAACCTCTAGAAGCAGGCTTGGGGCACCCTCAGCCAGGCACAGCCACACGCTCGCTTGAGAGAGGGCCTCTGCGTGCGGTGGCCGCCCGCCCTGTCACAGTGGCCCCTCGGGCCTGACCCCGTGGCAGGAAGGGGCTTTGAATGGCGGAGAGCCGGCTGGGGTCTCTTAGCTGGCAGCCTCGAGCAGCCTGTCCCAGGCGGCGCGGTGCAAGGGACACCCCCGGCTGGAAGGGGCCAAGGCAAGGCCGGGCGGGGGCCGCTCCACTCGCCGTCCCCGGCCCCCGGGAGAGCCGGCACTCGGCGCCCAGCCGGGCAGCGGGAGGAGGGGCGCCCCCAGGCTGCGCCAGCCCTGCCCGCGCCCAGGGGCCCCTCGGCGGCATCTGTCCCCGCGCGGAGGCCCCGGAGGAGGAAGAGACCTGGCGCCCTCGAACGCCGTCGCCCTGGAGGAGGACTGCTGCCCGCGGGGTGGTCTTCCCCCGGCCCCGGGCAGGCCCGGGCGAGGGGGACGGGGAGCCACGGAGACGAGCGGGACTCCCCGACCCCACGGGCGCCCGGCCCTTCATCGCCCTCACCGCGCGAGGACGCCCAGCTCACGGGCCCCGGGGAGGACCCAGCAAGGTGGCACAGGCTGCGCGGGCACTGACTGGGCGGGGATGGCTTCTCCCGCCGCCTGACAGTCGCTGCTTTATCAGAGGCCCTACTCCGTGGTGGCCCACGGTGGCCGGCAGGCCTGGGATGGCCGCTCCCCCGCAGGGAGTATGCGTGTGTCGCTCTGTGCAGCGGGGCGCACGGCTCTGCCCCTCTTCCAGCGGCCCTGGCAGGGAGCACTGAGCTCGGCCCAGCCTCGCAGCCCGTCCAGGGCAGAGGCGCCGCCCGATCGGGTGGGCACCCCGCCTCCCGTGCCCACCCCCACCCCCGCCTAAGGACCTTGGGGTGGGGGGACCTGCGCAGCTTGGAATCGCCCTGCCATTAAAGGGGGTCTTGGCCCCGCCCGAGCCGCCCCTGGTTCCAGCCGTTCCGGGGATGGACACCAAGTAGGACCGTCCTCCGAGGGTCCTGCCCTTCTGTGGTTTCTTCCGCTTACCCGCGCACGGCCCCCCTCCGTGCCCAGGGCCATGTGCGGCGTTCACTGCCTGGCCTGGGGGTCCCTGGAAGATGCCCGGGACGGGAATCCCCAGCCTCGCGGGGCTCGGCTTCCTCGGCTTCTCCCGCTCCTGCTGCACAGGACGCGTCGTTCCACCTTCACCTCAGCCATGGCCTTCCAAAGTCCCCGTTCTGTGGGGTCCCAACGCAACCTCTTGCCCCGTCGGGTCCTACACCTCGCGTCCTCTCCCCCAGGTATGGGGACCCACCCTCCCGACCCCTGGGGGCTGCTGTGCCCGCTGTGCCCTTGCCCATCATTCTACCCGTTTTCCACGTTGAAGATGTCCTGCCCTTTGTGCCAGCCACGCCGGGCAATTCTTTTCTACATGTTTGTGTGGATTTATAGTTTCTAGGAGGGGAAGGACTGAAACAGACTCATCGGCCTCATGAGGTGGCCAGAACCTGAATACCCGGGCTGGAGGCGGGACTGGGGGGTGGAGGACCCGTGTCACACGCCGTCCTGGTGCCCTGGGGGAGCAAGGGGCACACGGCATGCGCCGCAGCCTCCCGCCTGCATTGTGCCATCACGCTCTGTGTGTAGATGTTTTTTCACTTTCTTGCAGAAATATTTGCCCGCCTACTAGTAAGAGAGGTCCAGAGTGGCTCTTTCCTCGTGTAGCGTACCCTTTGGGCTGCAAAATATTCTGGAATTCGACGGTGGGATGACTGCACAGCATTGTGAATATACTCGCCAACACTGAATTTCAGCCTTTCAAATGCTCAATCTTAGGTTATGTTAATTCTCTGTAAGTGAAAATCAGGTATAAAAATGGAGGAGAGACGAGGGCAAAAGGAGGAGAACGTTTTGTTCCCTTCACATCTCTTTAGTGACAGCAGCCCAGAAGTCTCCGTCACGTCAAGGTGCTCGGCAGTGGCCCTGAGCTCCTTACCCTCCTCAGAGGTCAGCGTCAGGGAGTCCTTCTCACACGGGTGTGAAGAAGTTGCCGCTTTGAGGGAGGATTCCGATTCATACGGGACTTGTCCGGCTGCCCCACGCAAAGGCACTGGGCACAGTCCCTAACGTCAGGCGCTGCTGGTCCATGTGCCACTTTATTGCCAATTCACTCTCCTGCGGTCATCGTCCCGACCTGAGCCGGGAAGCGTGGAGTCCGGGTGGCTCAGGTGCCGGGGGCCTGAGCGCAGCTGGGACTGCACTTTCAGCTGACATGCACACTGTCCTGTCACTCTCGCGCTGTTCATTAGGAGACTGCATGTCTGTCTGCTAAAGTGACAGGATGCTTTGGTCTACTTGTGAGACGACGTCTATAGAGGAACTGTTCCAATACTAAAACCACCAAGAAATCTCCCAATCTCCCAGTGAGCAGTACCCAACACCCAACAATAATGTTCTTTATTCCTTTCTTGAAATAAGCTGGAAAGGGGTAGGCCACCAACAGGGAGCCCAGTGGGTCAGTGTCCCTGGCTCACAGGGAGGAAGAGGAGTGAACTTGCTCTGAGGAATGGGGGACAGACCAGACACCCCCCCCCCCAAGAGGGCCTCTCATGTCAGTGTGTTGCTGACTAGGATGGAAGCAACGCTCAGGAAAAATGTGGACTCCCCCAAGCGCACGGCTCCTTCTAACTCTTCCTCAATTGGGTAATCCGGGATGATATCCCTCTCCAAATTCGTAGGTCCCCCCTCATTGCAAGTCATAGCACTACAACAACGAACAAAATAGAAACTATTAGTTTTCATAATTCTACTGGCTTCAGGAGGTTCTTCAGATCGGTATAAAAACGTGCAGTTGTATGTACAGTTCTTGTAAACGAAGAGTTCCCGAACATTCAAACCTACAAAAGTAGAGATGAAAACCACTGATTTCAGGGTTTCTGCTTGCAAACATTCAAGCACCCTCCACCCAGTACCACCTCCCTGCCCACCGTCTACATCTGCAAACGCTTCTACGTTGCCTAGGACTCCTCACTGATAACACCCGAGTACGTCCACTCCAGGGTCACTCCGTGAACAACTTGTCCTGGAGGTGTTTTTCTGTCTACACCGCCACCTCATCGCTGCCCCCGGCGCTGCCTACGTAGTGTGACGGCACCTTGGCGCATGCTGTACACAGGAATTCCCCATTCGTTATCTGTCCTAAGAATTCCAGGGCTCTAGAAATAGAATTGCTTATGACCCACGGGATCACGCAGTCCCTGAAGTGGAGTGGCCCCGTAAGTGTGGCCCTCACCTGATTTTCTGCATGTGCAGCGGCCCCTGTAGGACGAGCTCCTGCCTGGGCCCCTCAGCCAGGTGTTCCCGGCTCCTGGCACAACATACGTGTGGATGCACCCTTAATGCCAACCTGCTCCCCAGCGCAGGCGGGACGCCCTGTCACAAGCAGGATGGCACAGCCATCTGTGACCGCCTTCACTGGTGGGCACACCCAACAGCCCCGGCCAACCAAGGCCACCTGAGTGAGGATCCACGTGAGGCCTCTTTGAGAGGCCTGGAGTTGAAATTCCTCCGCCCTCATTCACGAGTCCTGCTCCCCCGGTGACCCCAGTGTTGACTCGATTCTTTCTCCCTGGAACTTGCCACAGTTGACGTATCCGTTCACGGCTCTGGAGTTAAAGAGGAGGAACCAACATGTGGCTCCAGGCACTTGCTTTGCTTTATGTGCCACGCAAAGGCTTTAGAGAGGCCAACGCTCTACAGAAGAGCGCATGATCACAGGGCGACTGCTGGATGCGTTTTCATGAAGTGCCTGTGACCGTATACCCAGCATCGAGTTCCAGAAACAGAACTGGATGAAAACCCTCGTTTCCTGCCTCTGTCCCTCCATCAGGCACCATAAGGAGCCAAGGCCAAAGAGAAGTGGTGTCCGGGTTTGTAAGCACCCGTGTTAGTTTTACCTGCTTTGGAACTTTGTGAATATGAAATCCTGCATGCCTGCTTTGGCGTCTGGCTTCTTGTCTCTACTCTGTGCTTGGCAGATCCCCCCCTGCTGTGGCCCACTGTCGTGCGTGCTTCGCTCTCATAGTCCTATACTTGTCTACTGACGAACAGTCTGCACTTGACGCTTGATGGACATCAGGGCTCTTTCTGGCGGTTGTCTACCCCCCGGAGAGCACTGCGGGGGGGAGAGTCTGTCCTCTTGAGGTGAGAGTGCGTCAGTTCTTCTAGGTGGTAACGCGGAGTCCTACGATGCAGATGTTTGGCTTTCACAGATGTTGAAGACTCTTCCAGGCCTCTAGTACCTGTTTATCCTCCGAAGGAGCGCATGCACTTCAAAACCTTCGCCACCACATGAGTGGTCACCTGTGAATGTTCAGTGGTGCCTTTTGGGGTTACTGCATCGTGGTTTCATGTTGCATTTCCACCGATACGATGTTGGGCATCTTTCCACATATTTATTAGACACTGGGATATCGTTTTCTGGTAAACAGCCTTCAAGTGTTTTGCTCATATTTCCACCCAATGATCTGCTAGTTCAGTTACTGATTTGTAGGACGAAGTTCACTCTATAAAGTGAACACAAGGCCCTGGGCACACAGTGTGGGAAGTGGTTGGTCTTCATCTGCCGTTTCCAGTTTCACCGTCGTATCGGTATCGTCTCTGGGGCAGAGGTTGTGAATTTCTAAGGAATCCCATTCACAAGTCTTCCCACATGTGACGACCACTGAATTGTTCAGTTTTCTTAAATTTGTCATTACCCACGGATACAAAGATATTCTACATTTCCCTTTGAAAAGAATAAAAAAAATCCTCTCTTCTGTTATTTACATATTTATTTTATTATTATTATTTTTTAAAGATTTTAATTATTCATGAGAGACACACAGAGAGAGCGAGAGGCAGAGATCCAGGCAGAGGGAGAAGCAGGCCCCATGTGGGGAACCCGACGTGGGACTCGATCCGCGTCTCCAGGATCTTGCCCTGGACGATGGCAGGCGTGAAACCTTTGAGCCACCCAGGGATCCCTTGGAAAGTGTTCTCAACTATCATCTTTAAAAGGTGTTTAAATTCAATTTAGGTAACATATACCGTGTGATTGGTTTCAGAGACAGAATGCAATGATTCGTCAGATGCATGTGACAACCGGTGCTCATTACAGCAAGCGTGCTCCTCAACGCCCATGACCCAGTAAGCGCACGTCTCCACCCTCCTCCCCTGCAAAAACCCTCGGTCTGTTTCCTTCATTTAAAGTCCCTTATGGTTTTGTTTTCATCTTATTGTGTTCTTCCTTCCCTTTCCCTATGTTCATGTGTTTTGTTTCTTAAATTCCACAAATGCAGGAGATCCTATGGCATTTGTCTTTCTCGGACTTATTTCGCTCAGCATGATACCCTCTGGTTGCATCCGCGCCCTGGCCAATGGCGAGAGTTCATTCTTTCTGATGGCTGAGTAACACTCCACTCTGTGTAGCGACCACATCCTCTTTATCCGTCCATCTGGACTCTTTCCATAGTTCGGGTCTTGTGGACGCTGCTGCTCTAAACACTGGGGTGCACGTGCCCCTTCAACTCACTGTTCGTATTCTTTGCACAAGTAGGTACCTAGTAGCCCCTTGTTCTTTTGAGTTTTACGTGGAGATCTACAAAGCGCCTGAGGCTGCTTCCGTTGTGCAAAGCCCACCTAGGGAATAGGATCTCATCTCCCCACCCCTGGTGAGTGCAGACCAGCATCCTTCCCCGATACCTGCAGGGCCAACGTTGTCAGAAAGTCCGTAAATAGATGCATGTGAGATCTCTTTTCTCCTTTATATAGGTCTGTTTTTTCAATCTTGACACCAGCATCAGACTGTCTGAATTGACAAAATGATGGAAGTAACCTTGAGAGTTGAGCATGCAAGTCCTCCACCTTCTCCCTTCTTCCACACGATTGCCTTGGACATTCCTGTCTCTTCAATTTTGCATAAACGTTTGAATACTTGGAATCAGCTTGCACACACACACTCTTGCCCACGCACACACTCACACTGACCTGCTGGACTCTGACTGGAATTTCATGGAATTTGTAGGTTAATTTGGGGACAAGAGCCATCTTACCCCTACTGGGTCTCACACTCTGTAAGCTTGGTGTATCCCTTTAAGTCTTCCATTTCAATCCTGTTTTTGCTCTTTCGATGTGGAAAATTTTTTTTTAAGATTTTATTTAGTTATTCATGAGAGGCACAGAGAGAGAGAGAGAGAGAGAGAGAGAGAGAGACAGGCAGAGGGAGAAGGAGGCTCCATGCAGGGAGCCTGACCTGGGACTCGATCCTGGCACACGCCAAACTGCTGAGCCACCCAGGGGCCTCCCATTCCTCGTTTGTGAACGGCTTTATGCACACCTTCTGTAGCAGAGTTCACAAACAAGAGCCCGCAGGACAACCCAGTCCACCAGCTGTATCTATCAGTAAAGATTTGTTGGAACATAGGAGCCATGGGTATGTTTACTCGTCCTCTCTGGCTGTTTCCATCGCCTCAGAGGCAGTGCTGGGTACTTGCAACGAGGACCAGGTGGCTTTCCAAGCTGACACGTTTGCTCTCTGATCCTTTACAGAGACTTTGTCCAGCTCGGGTGTAGAGCTGTAGCAAGCTTTGTCACTTTGCTGCAGCACCTAGACTCTATGGCGAGAGATGTGTTAAGGGCAATCACACTGTGACTGTGGATCTACTTACAGTTCCCAAATGCTATGGAGGATTTTCTGTTACTTCATCCTGTTACGGGGCACGTGTGCATCTACACAGAGGTTTTATCCAGGTTTTCTTACCCCTTCCTCTCTGTACAGTGCTGCCCATCACACCAGTAACGCTCTCGTATTAATGTTCGCCTTGCTTCTGTGTGTGCTTAAGAGCTTTCCCCTGACAATATTTAAGTTGTACCCTGTGTTTATATATGTTTTGCAAACTTTTTTACATTCTCATTTTAAAACACATCTCTAGGGGCAGCCCGGGTGGCTCAGTGGTTTGGCGCCGCCTTCGGCCCAGGGCGTGATCCTGGAGACCCGGGATCGAGTCCCACGTTGGGCTCCCTGCATGGAGCCTGCTTTTCCCTCTGCCTGTGTCTCCTCCTCTCTCTCTCTGTCATGAATAAATAAGTAAAATATTTTTTAAAAAGCACATCTGTACAAAGCAGAATATATTTTGCTAATTCTGAAACTCTTGGGTTTTTAATTATATCTATTTTATTATTAACATAAATAATAGGTTAGATTCTAAATTGCTTTTCCATTCAACATTTTACTTTTGATAATGTAAAATCCTAGCACTTGCAGGAAATACCTAAAGATCCCGTGTAGCTTTACTCAGTCACTTCCATGGTAACATCTTGCAAGACCATAGTGCAGTATCCCAACCAGGACACTGGCTTCCAAAATAGTAAAGAAAAAAGACAGTTTTATCACCACACTCGCCCTCATATGAACGCACTGACGTCTTTCCCAGCAAGATGCCCCGCTAGGGACTCCCCTACCCACGTGCACAAGACGCTTGTCTCAGTTGGTCATTTCTAGAATGGTCTCTAACAGGGAACATGGATTGTCACCTCTGTAGGTGGCTGCTTCTCCTTCAGTGTCATCCTCCAGACATGCATTCAGGTTGATGGATCAATACCCGCTTTTTACTGCCGAGGAACACCCTCGGGGTGGCTGTACCATGGTTTCTTTACCCTTTAGGCACTGAAGAGCAGCCAGGATGTTTCCAGGGGTGACATGTTACCGATAAAGTAGTTGCGAAAAACCACGTGTTGTTTTATTTAATTACTCCGGGGAAAATACTCGGAAGTGCAACCTGGGAGAATGTATGGGAGCTGCAGATTTAGATTTTAAGAAACAAGACTGCGCTCCCCACCTCGGCTGCCCCATTTTTCACTGCCACTGGCAATGTATGAAAACCTCGTTTCTTTACCACGCTGGCCAGCATTTGCTGTGGTCACTATTTTTCACTTTGGCCACTCTGATGCCCAACCTCGAATTGTGGTTTTCAATGGTCATTTCCCTACCGGCCGAGGATGTTGAAATCCTGCTCGTGGGTTCATCTGCGACGTGTGAACCCACGTCGGTGAAACGTCTCTTCATCTCCTTGCCCTTGCTCTCGGGAGGCTGTCTGCATTTCTGCTGTTGAGTTGTGAGACTTCTGTATACACCCAAGACCTGTGTTTCGTCAGGTACGTGGTTTGCATACTTTCCCTCCCGGTCCGTAGCTTTGCCTTTCCCTCCTCTGAACAGGACCTCCTTCCACACAGAAGTATCTACAGTTGGTGACATCTCACGTCCCCAGGTCCCTGTTTGTAGGTCATCCTTTATATCAAGGCTACGCACGCTTTGAGTAGCCAGAGAGGCCAAAGATTCTCTCCTATGCGCTCTCTTTTTCTTGTGGTTTTAGATTTTTGCATTTTACATTTAGCTCATGCAGCCCTTTGAGGTATTTGTTGATATGATTTGAGATTTAGGGCAAGGTTCACTTTTGCCAGATCGAGCTGAAAGGCTCTATTTCCCCAGCATCCGTGTCTGCGTCGTTGCGGGATATCACGTGGGTAAATCTGTGTGGAACTCGTTCTGGGGTCTCTCGGTTGGGTCCTGTAGACTGGTCAGTCCAGCCACGGATACACCGATGAGTCTGTGGGGCAAAGCTCAGTGTCTGAGGTTCGGAAGTGTTCTGTAGAGGTCTTTGGTTTACTTACACAACCCCGAAGTCAGAAACTCACATGAAGGAGAAAATATCCGAGCGTTGCAGCCCTCTGAAGGCTCTCGTAAATTCTCTGCGTTGGCGTCCACCAGGGTCACGTAGGACGAGCGAGCCCCGAAGCCCTCGGGGATGAGTTTTTATTAAACGCAGGTGTTTTAGCTTCCATGAGTGCGGGAGGAGCTGAGAGACGACGAGTCTCAACGGCAGGCTGGTGATCAGAAGGCCAGTCCAGAACCAGGTCTACCCGAAGCTCAGGCTGGGGGGCGAGGGAAAGAGCCCACGTGGCAGGAAAACACGGACGCCACGCTTCTCTGCCCTCCCGTTCCGGCCCACCCAGAGGAACCCTTCTGGAGACTCTCTGAAGTGCTCGTCCACACACCTGTCGCCTATGCAGGCCAGCAGCCGAGCAACTACCGCGCTCTTAGGAACCGCTCCTGGTCTAGAGGCCCAGCAATGGGGACGGGGGCTGGAAACGGAGCAGCACGAAGCGAGGAAGGCTGGAGTCCCCTGGCGTCCACCACTGCGTGAGACCACAACGAGCTTCCAGAGCATCGGCCTCTCTTCCCTGAGCCCTGCCGGCCTCAGGCGAGCTCTCTCTGGGCCAAGTATACCCCAGAGCCATAGAGGGTGAGGTGTGGGGAAAGAGAGTCCCCAGCCCCCGGGAGCAGTCATCCCACCTCGGCCACGCACGACTCACCGGGTCTCCCGGACGGGCCGCTGTAGCGCGGCCCTGGTGGTGGTCCTTCTCCTTCTGTGATGCAAGGGCCTGACAAGCCGTGGGTGCCAAGCCCCCTGCTGCAAAGCCAGCTGCCCGGAGTAAACCAACCCCCAGGCGCTGACCAGGTGAAGAGCCAGCACAGACACACCCACGCCACCCGAGGCTCCTCTGCTTTCAAGATCTTGGTTGGTTTCCGGAGGTGACCACTCGGGTCTCCTGGTTTTCCTGTCCCGTGCTCTCAACTCCTCTCCTTCTGGTTTAGCTGCGCCGGTGAATGATGTGCCCGAGAATCCCTAGGTCCCCCACCTCAACCCCAAGAAAAGCAGAACCCCAAGCCCGTGCGGTCCCTCTGCTCCCCAGGACTTGGACGTGCGCCTCCAGGCTGCCCTGCCAGCTCCAGGACTTGTAAGTGCCGGGCCCTAGCATCCCGAGGTTTCCCGATGGCCCCCGCTGAGGGCGCCCTGCAATCCCGTTAAGAACCATGGGGCCGTTCCGGCCACGTCACCACCCATTCACAGGCCGAGACCCGCACAGGACAGGTGCCCGGTGCAGGGACAGAGGCCGGATTGGAGCTCCTACCTGAGTCCCCAGTGGGCAGATGCCCGCGAGGTACGGCAGTTGGCACAACCCTGAGAGAGCAGCGAGAGGACTGTTCTGCAGAAGGCTCGGGACACAGAAGGGCAGGGGATGATGTGGAGAGACGCTGGGGGGCACAGGGCCTGGGGACACGCCCTGAGCAGAGCCGCAGACTAGGCCTCTAGGCCCGGTGCAGAGACAGAACCGATTGGGTCCCGGGGCTCAAACTGACAAAATCAGAAGGCGTGAGAAAGCAGTACTTACGGATAGAGATGGTCAAACAGCGCCGGATGTGATAGGGACACGTCCTAATTTGAGGACAGTTGAAATTGTTGATATCCCAGCAATCGTGGCATTTCAAACTATAGGTCCCTGGAAGAGACTCAGCAGCATCAGGCTCAGGCTCCACATGCAACTTCCCCCGACCCCAACCCTGGGCCCCGGACCCTGGACCCCTACCCCCTGCCTGAGAGGACGTCTGCTCTGGCAGGGATTAGCTTCCAGCAGGGGCCAGGCGGTGTTCCTGTCCTCAGAGGCCGGGATATGGAAGTCTGTGCTCTGCTCACAGGCTTCGTCTGTCCCAGGAGGCCTGACAGTCACAAGAGGCCGTGCGCCCCCAGGCCCCCATGTGCCTGGACTCAGCCACCTCCCCCTGCTCGGGCTAGAATCGCCCCCCTGCCCTCTGGAGCTCAGGGGCACTCAGTCCACCCCGTGCCACCGAGGACATGACGAAGGACCTCCCTGCTGGCTAAGGTGACAAGGTCCTCTCGAACCCTTTCCCTGACTCTGGAGGACAGTAAATTCTCGTCGCCTCCAACACCGCCGGAGGCTCTGATACTCACAACTGGACACGGATACGTTTTGATTGCTGACCAAGGGCAACCCGAGGGCGAGGAGCAAGGCCCAGAGGAGCATCATTTCCTGCAGGGACTGGAACCTACGGAGAGGAGACAGTGTGCGTGTGGGCAGCTCCCCGGGGGCGGAGAGCACCTCCCGGGGTGTGTGTGTGCAGGGTGCAGGGCTCCCGGGAGGGTCAGCAGCCAGCAGCAGCACCAGCCACCTGCACCTGCCTCCCTGCAGACCCGCCCTTCAGGGGAGGGGACCGGGAGGTGCGGCGCCTTGGGGGAGGGAACCCGGGGGGTGGGGCCCGTCGGGGGAGGGGACCCTGGGGGTGGGCCCGTCGGGGGAGGGGACCCTGGGGGTGGGCCCGTCGGGGGAGGGGACCCTGGGGGTGGGCCCGTCGGGGGAGGGTGCCCGGGGATGGGGCCCGTCGGGGGAGGGGACCCGGGGGGTGGGGCCCGTCGGGGGAGGGAACCCGGGGGGTGGGGCCCGTCCGGGGAGGGTACCCTGGGGGTGGGCCCGTCGGGGGAGGGGACCCTGGGGGTGGGCCCGTCGGGGGAGGGTGCCCGGGGATGGGGCCCGTCGGGGGAGGGGACCCGGGGGGTGCGGCGCCTTGGGGGAGGGAACCCGGGGGGTGGGGCCCGTCGGGGGAGGGGACCCTGGGGGTGGGCCCGTCGGGGGAGGGTGCCCGGGGATGGGGCCCGTCGGGGGAGGGGACCCGGGGGGTGGGGCCCGTCGGGGGAGCGCGTCAGGCCAGTTTGGCGCGCTCCGCGGTCCCTCAAGACCGTCCCGCCCCACCCCCACCCCCGCAGCTCCTGCCCCTCCCCCGCACACGCGGCCCCAAGGCGACCTTCCAGAACCTTCGGAGCCTCGGCCGCCACCAGCGAGCGCGACGACGCTCAGGCCCACGCTCGCGCTCCCCCCGCGGCGCGTCCCCACGGGGTCTCCGGCCGCGCACGAGTCCCGCCAGGCCCTGCGCCGCTGCGCACGCGCCCTGGCCCGAGGCCTTCTAGAAGGGTCGGCGGGCAGGACGCCCCGCCCTCGCAGCCCGGCGGGTTCCGGCCGTTCCAGAAGGTTCCCGGAGGTTCTGGGCGGAGCCCCCCGGGCTGGCAGCGCGTCGTCCCTACAGCAGGTGCGGTGCGTGCGGTCGCGGTCAGCGGGTTCCAGAAGGTTCTGGCGTGGGCGGGGCTCCGCGGCGGGGCGTGCACCCGGCCCCCGGCCCCCCCGGCCCCTCTCGGCCCCCCCGGCCCCCCCCCGCCCCCCCGGCCCCGGCCCCCCCCAGCCCCCCGGCCCCCGGCCCCGCGGCCCCCCGGCCCCCCGGCCCTGGCCTGCTTCCGCGCGTCGTGCTCTGGGCCTTGGCGCTCGCGCTCCGGGCCGTGCTGCGCGCCCGCTCCCGGGGCCGCCCTGCGCCGCCTCCCCTCCGTCGGGTCTGCTAGGAAGGCGGGGCCGCCGTCCGGCCCGGCGGGGGACACGCACCACCGCGGGCCTCTCCGCGCGGGGCTCGCAGCGGGGCTGTCGCGCCGGGGCCGGGGCCGGGGCCGGGGCCCCGAGGCCGTGGGGGAGCGGGAGGCAGGGCGAGGGCCTCGAGGCAGCCCCGTGCGCTGCTTCTTACCGCGCATCTCCCGTCCCCGCTGGACCGCGAGACGCCGTGGGGTCGTGCGCGGGTGCGTGGGTGCAGGTTCCCGGGGCCGCGGCGGACAAGCGCTGTGACGGCGCTGCCAGACCCCGTCGTGCTGCGCGGGGAGGGACGGTTCCTGCAGGTGCAGGTTCCAGGTGCGCAGGCCTTGGCTTCCGAGCCTCGCCGCGGGTCACCACGCCCGGGGCTTGCGGGCTCCTGTCGGGAGGCGCAGCGCGGCTCCCCTTCCCGGGCCCTCGCCGCCCTCTGCCTGGCTCCGTGCGCCGCGTTCCTTCAAGGTTGCACCTCGACTGCCGCCGTGTGCACGTGCCGGGGTGGGTGATGGGCGCGTGTGCGGGCCTCTCGGTTTCGGCCGTGGCACCCGGCGTGTTGGCTCCGCTTCACCGTCGTCACGGAGGAGCGCTGCAAAGCCCTTGACGGTTAAGGTGCCGCTCGACTACAGGGGGTTCTTCTGAGCCCTTCTCTGCTCCTCCCCGGGCCTTGCAACGCCGTGTGTTGCTCAGGAGCACGGCCCGCACGCTAGGGGTGATCTGCGTTCTCATTTTCCGTCTTGGCGTCGCTCTGGGGAGATGGCTCGTGACTTGGCTTCAGGCTCCCCGGGTCCCTGTGGCTGTGAGTCCACTGAGGCGCGGTCGGCAGCGTTGCCCGTGTCCGCCACGGTGGTTGTGAGCTCCAGACCTCGCTGTGACTCGCAGACCTTCCGTCTGCACACCCACGGTACATAGGTTCTCCCGCGTCGTCTGCTTTCTTTTCCTTGGCGCCCTGCGGGTCCCGATCTTGGTCCCTTCCCGTCCCTTGTCCCGTGACGGGGACGTCTCTGTTGCAGAGGTCTTGTCCTCCCGCTGCCTTGGTCTCTGGAAGCTGTTTCCCTGGCTCTGGGCTCGCCTGGTCTTCCGGCTGCCGGCGGGCCGGCGGTGGGCGTTAACAGGCCGTGGGGGAGACGGGCCCTGAGCGTGAGGCTTCGCGTGCCGGGCCCTGGGACCGGGACTCCGTGGGATGTCAGCTGTAGCTCTAGTGCCCTTAGGTGTCCCGTCCCCGAGCGAGCTGGTTTGTGCGTCCGGTTTCGGCTCGCATCTTGCCCAGGTCTCGCTCCCAGGACGGAGGGTGTGTTCTGTGGCACTCGCGGCTGCTGTCCTTTCGAAAGAAGAAGAAAGGGCTTGGTGGCCAAGTGCCCGAGGCTGGTCGTGGGCTCCTGGGCGCGGGGGACTCCCGGGCACTGCCGTTCACAGCCCGCCTCCAGCGCTTGGGCACAATTGCATGTGAGCGCTGCTCCCGGCCTCAGGCTCCGGCAGCTTCTGCTGCAGGTAAGGGGCTTTCGGGGCTCGTCGTGGGGTGCACCTCGCTCGCGGGATTGGGCGCTGTCAGTTCTGTGACCCCAGTTCTCCGAGGGGCCTAGAGCTGTGGTTGATTTTCAGTTTGGCAAGTGTTTTCTTCTGGCAACGATGGTGCCCAGCTCCCAACGGGTAGGGCTCCATGCTTCCGCCTGCCGCCTCCTGGGGGGGGGGAGGGTGTCATGGAAGTAAGGAAGGGACCTGGAGACAGGAGAGGGGGACAGGCTCACTGCCTGCAAACGGCCATGATTCATCGGGTGACCAGGAAGGACACGGCTCTGTGGGGAAGTGACAAACGGGGAGAAGGAAAGTTGTTTCAAAAGATCTACCTGTGAAGGTAAAACCGCAACAAAATACAGAATTGAGCTATCAAAAGAAACGTTCAAAAGAACAGGGTCAGGGACGCCTGGGTGGCTCAGCGGTTGGACATCCTGCCTTAGGCTCAGGTCGTGATCCCAGGTCTGGGGATCGAGGCGTGCGTCGGGCTCCCTGCAGGACCTGCTTCTCTCTCTGCCTGTGTTTCTGCTTCTCTGTGTGTGTCTCATGAACAGTTAAATAAAATCTCAAAGAAATAATAAAATAAAGAAGAGCAGGGGCAGCGCGTCACCTACAGAGCCAGCCACTGCGTGTATTAGGATCAGTAGGGTGAGAACCCCCACGTGGAGAGTGTCTCTGAGGGAGTCGACAACAGAGGACCCATCCTTTGAGGAAAGTCCGTGGCTTCACTTTCTGGTGCCGCGGTTTGGCACGTGGGGCCGGGCCTGGATAGCTGCTGTGCTGGGGGCGGGGGTGGTGTCAGGGGGCAGGGCTGGGAGTGGTCGGGTTGGGGCCGGACCCGGGAACTGGTTGGCGTGGACGGTCAGGCATATACCGGCTTGCCAGGCCAGGGGATGCACCAGGAGGTGCCCGCTGTCCCGGGAAGAGCACCCGGCCTCCCATGGCCCTGGGGGTGGTGGACACGGAGGCAGCCAAGCGTAACCTTGGGTCCCAGAGCTGACCACGTATGCCCGCTCCTTGCGTCCAGGCCCAGGCACCGCAGGAAATGATGATCCTCTTGGCTTTGCTCCTGCTCGTGGACCTGCCGAGGGTGGAGACAAATGTCACCGTGTCAAGAACAGAGGGTAAGGCTGGGTCCCTTGCCTCCTGGCTGTGAGGAGGCAGGCCAGGATGAGTCTGGGACACGGGGTGGCCACCCGGCCAGACGCCCCCCATGGCCCCAGCAGGTCTGGACGGGAAGAGCACAGGCAGCTGGGAGCAAAACAGCGTCGGGAGAGCGGCCCGCAGATAGGGACGCCTGATGGGGCAGCCTCTTAGTTGGGGCCCCCGGCCAAGGGCGGGCAGTCGTAGGCGTGGCCAGGATCCCGACGTCCTCCCCAGAACCCCATGGTCCCCGCGGTGTCCCCTCCACTGTCTTCCTGGGAGCCGTTGGGGGAGCCAGGCCCGGCCTGGTCCTTCTGGGACCTCCAGCGCTGTCTCAGAGGACTGGCACCGCCGCGAGAGGGTGACCGGCTCTCTCCCGGGAGTAGGTACTGTCCTCATAGAGACCCAACAGTGGGCAACGGCACGGGGGTCAGGGTGCAGGCCCTGGGGGTCGAGGAGGGTGCAGCGGGTGCTGGAGGGGTTAGCTGGGCCGGGAGGCCAGTGGGGAGGGCCTGCGAGAGCAGACGGCCAGTCTCCCGAGCCGCTGAGCGTGAGACGCCAGGCGTGTGAGTGTGGGGAGCATGCTTGTGCGGGAAGGCGTGCGTGCGCAGGCTGCGGTGAGGCTGTGCAGGTGCAGTGCTGTGTGTGTGTGTGTGTGTGTGTGTGTGTGTGGCCGTGCCTGGTGTCTGGGTGTGGATCAGCCTGGGGGAGGTGGAGGGAACCCCAGGAGAGAAGACCGAGGACTTGGGATCCACTGGTGCGGTCACGTGGAGGAGGGAGGGGTTGGTGGACGTTCACCTCCTAGGACTGGAGACTGGAACATTCCACTTCATGTTTATCCCTCCTTTCAGGCCTGCTGAGGTGTCACGTTTGTGAGAAAGAGAATACATTCGCCTGCCGGAATCCAACACAATGTGCCCAGGGTGTACAGTTCTGTGCTTCCGTTGCCGTGAGTGAGTGTCTCTGTT